GAAATGCTGCTGTAGGAGGTCGCACGTTTTGCTTGCTCTTCATCACTTTTAAAAACTCGGCCTAAACTTTTGGCGCTGTGCACAATCGTGCGCCGCCGTATTTTGCAGACATGTCCTCGCCGTCTCAGCTCTTCAGGTCACTCATTACAGGTCGCACCTCGTACTCACCTTTCAGTTCGTAGCACCTACTATTTGTGAGCATTTCCCCTTTATTATCAACTCTGAGGCTTGTCATCATGTGCTTTCTTTCTCAGTGTAACCATCACCCAGTGTTTAGTTGTAGGTTGTGTACATTTACTTCATGTCTTATCTGTGTTTAGTCGTCAGTCTGGTCCCTGTGTTGGTTTACCTTTCTGTTGGTATTGAAGTGTCACCTGTTCAGTTAGTTCCTGTTTTATTTTGATACTTCTTTGTGTCGTGTGCAGTTCTGCTTCATTAGTCACATTCAGTTCACTTGTGTTCCCCAGGTGTCTCCACTTTGCCCATTCGCTTTTGTGAATTTAAACCCTTTGTCTGCATCCTTTGTCGTGTTGTTCCTCATATTCCTGCTGTCTAACCTTAGTTTCATGTTTATTATCTTCTTCATAAGTTCCCAGTAACAAAGTTGAAGTACTTCCACATCTCATCTCCTTCGTCCTGCACTCTGTCTGAACATGGTTAAAAGAGAGAGGGCACTTCTCCTTTCTACGAGCAGCAGATTCAAACCTGGCTTAAAGCTGGGCATGGGGCCATGAAGCCTGGAAACAGGATCACGTCCCACCGACACAAACTCACTGAAAAGCCAATTCTGATGGAATGACTTTGAGTCTCAGTTAAAAGTCAAACATCTCTCGAACACCCTAAAGCCCCCAGCTGTTCCCCACCCACAAACATCTGGATGACACACTGAGTTTGTACCATGGTGGGGGTGAGTGTCAGAGGACTTCAGCAGACTGTAACCTTGGACTAAAACCACAGGTAGCCCCACCCGTCGGACGCCCTCTGCTCGTGCAGGCACGATGCTCTCACTGCAGGTAAAAATGAAGACACAGAGACCTGCGACACTCGGGAGCTTTAATGGTCCATCATTTACAGGCATGTACAGAAGCAACACAGCAGCACAGGAAGTTCAGTCAGCCGCGGCCAATCAGCTGAGAGCGCCGCCTGTTCAGTCCACAAATCACACAAACCCTCAGTCAGATCACATGACTCACTGATGCTCTATAGTCACGAGACCTCAAAGCTCATCAGAGGGGAGGACCTTCAGACGGAGCGTTCACACCAAGCACGAAGGGAAGCTTTCACGCTGTGACATCGAAAACAAGACAACAAGAAGAGAGGCGAATGCGTTTTGATCCAATAAACAATGTATTCACCCGATCCTGCTGGCAGGAAGTATGGCGAGAGCTCAGACGGACGCCAGAGGAATCGCAACGCGAATGAGGCGGGAGTCGCACGATTTCGCTTCTTGTTCACTTTGAGCCAAACTGTGGATCCATCACACAGCTGAGAGAGTGCCATGGTTGCCTGTGCAGTTTGGCGCCAAAGTAAAGGAGAAACAAGTTGTCGAGGCAAAAATTTACCAAAAGTTCATTTCTACGATGGATGGCGGTTGGCTGAAGGGGGTTTTGAAAGAGGTGAGTCAATGTGCGAGGGTCTTATTGGACATCCTTCTTACTCACGACATCTTGCTCTGATGAGCTGATCGTACTGAGCTAACCGCCGCCATGCTTTTCAGCAGTTCAGCCCGAAATGCAGCGAAAGAGACGGGATTCAGACGAACGTAGACGGCTTGAAAGTGTCAAAAACAGGCCTTTGACTCTTTGCAGGCAGTCAAACGGAGCAACACGGGGACGTGAATGTTGCACACAGCGAGGTGAAACTTTGCTCTGTGGTTCGTGTGAACGCAGCTTTGGATCGGCGTGGGAAACCTTACAGGGAGCGTTCCTCGTCCTGGATCTGCCTTCATGAGGAAACACCTGCAGATGCTTGGGCATGGTCTCGGTGACCTTTGACCTGGTCAGTAAGTCGTCATTGATGGATTCGTGGCGCTGTGATACAGACTATGAGCCGGTATGATAGCTAATAACTTCCTGTGGTTGCTACATTGGACTCAGAGGCGTAGATGGACGCGTGATGGCGGCTGATGTTCTGCAGAAGCTTGGTGGTGCGTCCCCAGCTTCAGATGCCCATATAGGTGTTCATCTTCCCCAGGGCGTCGCACACAGTGGTGAGGTCGCTGCGCAGGTCCTGCACCACGTCCTCGATGCTGCGGGTGTCTTTGAGCAGGTCGACGCTCTGAGTGTACGGGTTGTAGTACACCGAGAACGGGCGCTTTATCGTCTTTGCAAACTCTCTGCGGGAAAGGAAGCACGTACAGGAAGTCACGGCGGGCTCGGTCCAGGCAGGAGTTTAGTTCCTGTTCAGACTTTAAAACATTCACGATGCGTTCAGTGACTACTCGCTGCTTACCTCATCTTCTCCTTGGCCTCCTCGAAGCTCTCCGACACGAAGTAAACCTCTTGGAAGGTGGTGATGAGACACTCCTGGTTGCAGGTCGTCTTCGGGTCAAACATCTTTACACATGCCTTTTCAGACAGGGCATGCTGGGAAAAACATCAGCAGACAAACATCACTTCCACCGTGCGTGTATACGTCTGTGTGTGTGTGCGCGTATGTGCATTGTGTGTGTTACCCTCAACTCTCCAATAGACGACAGTAAACCGGCTCCATAAGCTCTCAGCTGACCGTCCTGTTTGCACAGTCCAAACTCGATGGTGAAGAAATAACACTGAAACACACGAGGCTCCATCACTGATTGATCACTGATTGGTTCCTTTAAAAACTGGTTTCTATGGCATCATGTCCAAACCTCTGTGTTAGAGACATCAGCTGTTCAGATGGCCTGTGCTTTCATGTAATATCATTTTGCACCACAGGGGGTGTAACCACGCTAACCCTCACAAACAGAAGCTCTGAGCAGCAGCTGGGTGGGGCTTCTGTCCCATCTCTGTGATGTCATGGAGATGTATGACTATAAAAAACTGTGTGAAACTGAGTCTCTAGAGCGCATGTCTTTGCGTTGTTGATTCTGTTTTGTACTGAGTTACAGGGCTTCAAAGTAACTGAGTACTTTTACTCTGTTACTCTAACAGAACAGATCCACTTTAAAGTGATGCTGTAAAGTTAAAACATGTTGGTGATGAAACATGTTCTTCTAGCGCCACCATCAGGTGACACTTCATCATTACATAAGGTGAGAATAGGACTCTCATCGTTCTCAAACAAAACATGAAGAAATAATTTTCGAAATTAATATAATTAACGTGTAATAGGGTGTAAAATATTTAATCTCATACAGCTGCTATTTTTAGTACCATTACTCTTAAAGAGATATTTATTTATTATTTTACTGGCTTATTTCAATTTCTTTTATCCTAAGTCTTCCGTAAACCTCCCACAGCTGGATTCGAACCTCTGCAGCGTTACCATGATGATGAAACTCACTGTGGCGAGTTTCTGAACGTCCTCGTCAGACGCTCCCAGGGAGGCCAGACCGATCTCCTGAGAGAACTGGGCAAACTTTGGATCAGCCAGTAGGGGGACGTGACCCAGCAGCTCGTGACACGTATCTCTGAGAGGAGGAGGAGGAGGAAAGATGGATCACTACAACTACTGAATACACAGAGTGGATTTCACCTCTTTGTCTGCGTGATGCTGAGCTGGAGATCATCAAACTCATCAAACTAGAGATGGATGAAAGGTGGATGTGAGGTGGAGGTACTCACGGCTCGGGGGTGTAGAGCGGGTCGGTGCTGTGCCGGATGTACTGAGTGCAGTTGAAGACTCTGTAGGCCAAACCAGCCAGGAAGTCTCTGGGAGACAGATAACCTGCCACCGGGCGAACGGTGAAGCCAGAGCGCTCTGAAACACACAGGAAGCCACACAGGAAGTGAGGTCATCATCCTGTTCAGCTCTGGCCCGTTCTCATCCATCAAAAAACATCACCGTGGAGGGATTATGTCATCAAAGAGGCGGGGCAGCCACCAACAGCGCTTCATGTTTCAGCAGAACTTCTGGAATCTGTAATGTGACTCATGGGTCACCTGAGTCAAGGTAAGCCGCTCACCTGGACTCAGGTGAACGTGTTCAGAGAGACGTACCTCTGAGGAATAGTGAGACGTCCTCCAGCTGCGGGATGTTGTCCTCTCTATAGCCACAGTGCTCAGTGAGCAGCGGCAGGTTCTTCAGGTACTCTTTGCAGGCGTGAGTCGGATACAGTTTGGTCAGCTCTCTGAACACCACGCCCCACGTCTTCACCTCCTCCTCCGTGTACTCGATACGAGGGATGGGCTGCCCGCTGTGGGGGGAGGGGCACGCGAGACGTGAAACACGTGAGAGGTGAAACACGAGAAAACACGACGAACGGACGAACATACTTACAACTTATAATTCATGGCCACTTCCACAAAGTACTTCCTGCGCTGGCGATAAACATTATCTTTAAACCCCTGACAGGAAGGAAGAGGACACACAGTCAGAGTACAGATATCCCATCATGCCCAGCTTTCTGCCACCTCTGCGTGCACCTATGGGCTGCTCGCAGCTTTGCTGCCACTCGTACGTCCCACCAAGAAAGGCTGACATCTGACACGTTAGCTGGACCTCCTCCAGTGTGTCGAAGCCCCAAAGACGAATTTATTTTGTGTGGATCGAAGAGCGGGCAGGTGTGTGTAAAAAGCCCCGCCTCTTCCACGTGAGGGGGCACATGAGCAGCACATTGAACTCAGCACCTCAACCTGTGGGGAGGAACTCATTCTGCAGGTCTCACTTCCTGATCTATGCCACCTACAGGCTGGACAGCTGCAGACTGAGTTAAAGTTTTCCTCTTGAATGAAAACAGCTATAGGAGGTCCAGAGGTGAACTCAGAGATGAGCCCGAAGACCCGAAGGAGAAACTTAACACCCTGACCTGCACACAAAGGCCCTAAACACTGCAGTCTGGCCCCCTCTTTGTCTCGAATGCAAGATGAACTCACGTTGCAGGCATCTGTGAGCTGTTCTTTATAAATAAAGTTGAACTGAAACGACTCACGGGATGGTCGGCGTCCAGCTCGGACCCGTACATCAGCACTCTGTGAGAGCACTGATCCAACTCGGAGATCTTCATGGGAAACCAGGGAACCTCGTCTTCATCTGAGAAGAACACAGAGAAGTCTCACAACGCTTAAACACTGCGGCCTGTCAAACCTTTACATTCTGTATGATAGCTTTTCATTTCACAGTGTTGTCCACTACCTGCTGTTAGTGTCTGTTAGCCTCTGTTAGCTGCAGTTTTAGCTGCTTTTAGCTTGTGTTGGCTGCTTTGTTAGCCTCTGTTAGC